AGATCAAAAACAGATTCCCTCAACTGAATTGACTTCAAAGAGCCAGGTAACTTTGGTCTTCCAACACGATCGCGTGTAATGGCAGCTATTTCGTCAGACACACATAGTCTTCATATAACAAAATATAGGAATATATACCGAACATTTACAAAATACTTTCAGAAATATAAAAAATGACAATAAGAGAAAGTATTTACAGCAAGAGAATGAAAAATATTGCAAGGATTGCTTTGGAACAAGCGATGCAAGTTTGCTTTGGAAAATTTGGTAATTTCATGTAATATGAAATCCAGGATTAAAGTACCACAGCATGCAATGCATCAAGGGTGAAAATGGGTCTTTAAAGCTAAGCCAACATTCCACAATATGATATTTTTGCACAGATCTTAATTTTGTTTAGTTGCTCTAGAAACTATCAAATCTAGCAACTATAAATCTAGAAACTATAAAATTTGTTTTATCAAAATTCTGTAGTCGGCAAAATGAAACATTGCACGTGGAACATATTGTAGCTGTGACACGATTCATAAACCTTGAAGCTTTCCAGTTTAGCATTATAGTTCGGAGAACCCATTCCTCTATGAATTTTTAATGACCTTCCCTGGGGTCAAGGTGATAATGGATACTATCTGGAATTATGCAGTGTGTGGTTCCAGGAAATGTCCATATTCTGCCAGAGGAGGGATTGGGAATTCCTGGGGCAGGGAGGGGTCTCAAAGGGCAAAGATGTTAAGGAAATGTATGAAGCATAATTGGAATTATCAGAGGGGTGGGGTGGGGATGTTAGGAAGCATCCCTTTAGTGGGGGAGGTATTGATAATTTACAGAACTATTTACAATAGTACTTAGAAGCAATTTACAAAATGTAACACTGAAAAAAGTCTGTATGATTTGATTTTGGTAGATTTTATTAGAAACAATTGATGTACTTACGCTTAGTGCTGGCATCTGGCCGTCAGGATCTAACAAGTTCAGCACACTGTGCTGCTGTTACTTGTACTTTGTAGGTTGTGCAATGTTAAAATTTAAATTAAAGTTTAACAAAAAGGTCAAAGTTTTTCATTCAAATTAATAGATATATTAGTTGAAGTTTTTGTTGTTTTGTGATATTAGAAATGATACATACTGGTATTCGTAGGCCTTAATACGTTGGGGGTTGATGTTCTGTTGTGGTACTGAGTTGTAGAGAAGTGTGATGGTACATTTATGAGGGTGGTAAAGGGTATTTTTGTGACCAGTGATCAGCTCTTTTTATTTCCCATGAAATGTGAAATGGCTATTTTTTTCCTTGTGAATCATGATTTCCATATAGCTGTGAACTGTGATTTTCCAAAACGCTTTGTTATTTTCCATTAAGGGTGAAGTGTCAATATATTTTTTGGTGAATTGAGAAAGGGCCCATTTTTTTGTAAAATGTGATCCTTACCTTCCCTTTACCATCTTCATTTATTTCAATAAAGGATTAATGCCAATTAACTTATCTTTTATGTCAATAAGCATTTTAATGTCAAATAAATACTTACATTCCTTGTTGAAAGTTTCAGGATTGAGTGAGTCTGTAATAAACAAAATTGTTCGTTTTTTAATGAGTGATTGCTTTTTTTTTTATTTTTTGCAAGTCAGATTAAATGATGCTGGTTGTAAACCATGAATGGTCCCTAAAAATTATGCAGTTCTTGCAAAATTTGGCTTCTGTTGGTAATGCTTGGAAAATTTTTACAAGTTAATTTGGTTTTATCACCTGGGTTGATGTGAATTGGCCACCATAAAGAGATTCAAAAGCTAGTGTTTCGAGCATTAGTCCTTTGTCCGAGTGATGAAGGGCTAATGTTCAAAACATCAGCTTTCAAATCTCTTTACGGTGGCCAATTCACATTATCAACCCAGTTGATAAAACCAAATTATCTTGTTATACTCCCCACCCACGCAGCACCAGTTTCTTTAGAAACTTACCCCCTCTATTTTTACAAGTGCTTGACAGCTTCATTAAAGAAAGTGTTTGTTGGTTGTGAGGTCAACTTTCATCAGTGTTTGTGCTTACAAACATGTGTTGGCATGGTTGCAAAGACCATTTGATTCCTTGACATACCCCTATGAAGCTGGTGGATTCACAATTATAGAAATTGTGTGAATTGCCAATGGCACTACTATAGGTGTAAGATGGCCATAAAATTTTCTTAATGTAGATTTAACAGTGTCATAAAATATGTTCAAAAGGAATACTATACAAGTTCATAATGGTTGGCTGCAGTTGTTCTCCCTCAGCTGTAACATTGAAGGAATCATTTTGCCCTTTTTGTACTTCCATCAATGATTAATCAATGCAAATTTATCTCTATTTTCCTTTAAATGACAATGAAGGTCACTGTAAGCAAATTCAATTGAGTTTTTTTGAAGTTGGAGGGTTTGTTTGACTGTTTGTATCTTGGCATTTTAATGGCTCGTAATCCTGTGTGTCTCTGTCTGTACAATTTTAAGAAAAAAATGAGTCAATTTCGGCCAAGTTTACCTCTTTGATTGTGGCTGTATTTGAGAGAGTTTCTGTGCAATACACTCAATGAATTTTGTCACTTTCTGCTACTGAATAATTTTATGTTAATAGCTGACTTAGGGTTGATCTGTATAATTGACTTCAGCCATGGTTTTAAACTTGGAAAATATTTATTATTTTCCAAGTTGTAGTGGTGGAATGATTTCACTCCATCGTTCCTTCAGTTCCTGTTAGACATTTGGAAACCTGGGGGATGACTCCCATTTGAAAAGGCAATGGATGCTTGTCGGAAAATTTGAATTTAACTCCTAAAGGAGATTAATGTGGACGTTGCTTGAGCTTCATTAGACCCCTAAAAGATACCACTTAAAACAGAATAGGTTCGATTACTAGCCACTGTTCAAGAAAGGATCCTGCGTGCACTTGCAGACCCAATTTGCGTACTTGAGAGATTAGGCCTGAAAACAGAAATTAAATGAGAGCATTTTTTTATTATTTCTTTGAGTGTGCCCAAAAGGACACCCTGACAGCTATTAAAATGGTGATGTTTCATTGACAACACCCTAAGTGAGACCAGAAATTCTTGATTTGTACCTGAAACGATGAACATCCCTGACCTTTTCATATAGGAGTCCCCCTGGGTTTCGAACATCAGCCATCTAAGGCTGTTTTACAGTCACTTGCAGCATGTCAAGTTAGTTATTTTCGAGAGGTAGGAGGTATAATGGTGTTTTCATTGTAAGGACAAAACTTATATGATTCTGCCTTAGTGATTCTATTCAGGTAAAGTCTTTGTGGTTTTTCTTTCACAAACCTACCTGATATTGTGAGTCTGAGAGCAATTGATATAAACAAATAATTAATTAATTATAAAGGCTGCAGACGATTATTTTAACGCAAGAAAGGGAAAGACAAACGCTACCAGTGGTAAATGGTTTCTTGACAGAAAAAGAAACTAGTGAGACAATCTCAGATAGTGCAGAGTGTAATTTTCAGCTCTGATGCAGTAGTCACAGAGTTCCTCACCCCTGCTGTTGTCACCCATGGTAGTCAACTAGGCCTTCACTCCTTTGCAGAATATGAGCGGACAAAAACTTGATAAGACATAATCTTAGCAGCGTGTGTGTTTTTCATGTTTGTGTTTTGCTCAAAAATAACTTACAGTTACCGTTTGTCAAGATGGTTTTAAGTTTATTGTATTTTATCTTGAGTTTCATTCATTTTGTAGCATTACTTTTCATGCCAATGTTTGTAATTTGATACTTTTGTTTTCCTTGCTAATGTATACAACAAGATACCTTTGTTTCCACGAAAATATAAGAAAGATGTGTATTTTTTAACTCACTGCTGGAGATAAATGGAATAGAAAAGTTCAATATCTGCTGAAAAGTTGAAGAGGAATGATTTTGTTTTATTCAAAATGTAAATTTTCATTTCACCGATAACAAGAACTAATCTAGTTATCAAATAGTCATGTCGAATCACAGAATAGTGTGTTCTAATTCTGTTGCCAGCTCAGTTAATGTAAATAATAAAACCACATCAAACTAATACACAATGTTATCAACTAATAGCATTGAGGAGTGTTTCAACTAGAAGTATTGAAGG